TGAGACTTGTTCCGTTCGTTTCGTTCTTGTGCGTTAGTTCCCCCTTTACATGATGTGTAGCATTCACGTTGTTGGTAGGGAGGAAGATGGAGGCATAGGTTTAGTCAAAGACCCAAATGTTGACCGTCCCAATCTCATTATCCCCTAGTCAACCCCTTTGAGACGTGTGTCTAACGGTCGCTCTCATTTTAGGTAGCTCTCGCTACTTGAGCTTGATTGATTTAGATAGAACGACCCTACTTTCTTCGTGTCTACACCGTTATCGAGTCACCCTTGTGTTTGGAAGATCCATTCATACCATTTTAGCTTAAACAAGGTTCCACATGAGTGATTTTTGTATGGTTTTGCTAAGAGGTGAAGTGAGTGTGGAGGTAGTTTTTCAAAGTGAGCATTGTTCATTAAGTTAAAAAAATGTGGCATGTTTATAGTTCTCTTTAGCTCCCCCAAAGAAAAGAAAAGAGAAAAAAAAGAAATCAATAAGAGGGCAAAGAAGAAAAGAGACTGGCCACCAAAAATATAAATGTTGAACATGCTCTTAGAAGTGTTGCTTAGCATGCAAGCTTTAGAAACACTTCCATGTTGTTTGCCTACCACACTCTTGTACTTGAAATTGAATAGCAAAGGTAGCAAGAAAGATTGTTGCGAATGGTTTGGTGATTGGTTGTGGTTTGGAATCGAGGGAAGTGTGCTTTTTGGCCGATGCTACTGGCCATTGAGTATAGGAGAGGGTTCTAATCGAAACCTTAGAACCTTTTGTGGTTTTAGGATGAAGATGTGGAATCTCATGTTTTGTTTGCCACCACCCAAAAAGCCTTTTACTCATGTCCTAGACCCTAGCCAGTCATTTGAACCTTGTCTAAGACCTCCGGACAAGCTAGCAATGACGCCCATCTTGTGAACTCTAAGATTCAGAGTATGCCGTCATTGTAAAGGGACGTTAGGATTGAGCGTGAATATGCACATATTTTGCATTAGATGGTCCTGACCCCACTGGTCGAGAGTGAGCAATTCTTCATCATGTTTTGTTCATTTCTTTTACCCTAGTGAGGACCTAGGTTTGCTCGATAATTCGTTCCTATGATGTGATCTTCATGCATGAGTAACTGTGATTGGTGAGTCGTCGAGGCATGTTGTGTGTTGGTTGATAAATAATGTGAGAACTCTTCTTTTGCACAATCTTAATACAGTTGAATGTCGTTAGTGGTGGTTGCCAAGATTACTTTGTTTTTGTCCATAGGTCACTGTGATTCATTCATTTTGTGCCCTATGACATGCCCCAAAAATTGTGTTCAAAAAGAAGTTGTAAGCTTACCTTGTTTTGTACTTGGTTTGCTTGGCGATCAGCAAACGTCTAAGTGTGGGGGTGTGATTCGGGCCCAAATGCACATATTTTACCCCTCGTTTCTTATTCGTTTAGCTTAGTATTTCATCGTTCCTCGACATATTTCACGCTAGGTTGTGCTTGTTTTGATACATTTCAGGTCCTAGCATATGTGGAAGGCTCGAGGACGAGTTTTGGGATAATTGGAGGTCAAAAAGCGCAAAAAACTGAACAAAAATCCAAAGTCAACAGTGACAACTGCGTTGTAACAGTGAAGTGAAGGCGTCCCAGGATTCTAAGCACAAAACATGCACAAATCAAGCTGAACAATCGTTGCTTGAGATGCGGCTTATTGGTTACAGACTTCGTCATGTACAGACTCACCAGCTTTAACCACAAGCCCGCGACAGTCTTCTCAGTAGCGACTTCAATGATGAAATCATTAGACAGTGGCATCATGATGGTCGAGTGGGCCTTCTCCTCCAGGGTATTCCACTCTTCATCACATGTCTGTGCCTTCTTTTATTTCACAGACAACAGTCCCCACAACCCTTATTGTTTCAATAGCACCTACATCTTGATCTGCCATACCAAGACTGTTCTTCCCCGTGAACTTTTGAATCTTCATATTTACCAACGTCATTCTTCAATCTCGAAACCCTAGCTTGATTTCCAACTGGTGCTCTGATATCACTTGTCACGACTTTTTCTCTGCGGGTCAAAAAATTGTAGTATCCGACAAAAAAAGAATATGAAAGCAAGATTGAAAACGACACACGATTTACGTGGTTCACTAACACAATGTGTGTTAGCTAGTTCATGGGCAGGTGAGAGCCAGTTTCACTATAATTCAAGGAGATACAGATTACAGAGTAGTATGAGAAGTATTTATAGTACTTCACCATGGTCTAACCTTAATCAAATCTGGTAAAGGAAAAGAAGTTACAACTATGCCCAAAGCAGCAACCCATAAGTGTATCGGCCATACACCGTGGACCCCCATGACATCCAATCGTAGCTAGATAGTCAGATTCAAGTCACATCAACACTTACAATGTAAAAAAGAGCTTGATATGTAATTGCATGATCACAACAACTCATTAATAGTAATGAACAAACTTGCTATAGGCATGGAAATCAAGTTAGATGGCTAACCTAAGTTTATGTTGGGTGAGTGACACTGAATTTGGAACATAAAGGTAGCGATTTCAAGTCATGTAATGCACAATCTCTTTTTTCCTCGTCCCCCTTGTTGTGGCACAACAAACAAAATAAATCTAGCTAATGTGTCATATGTACAAGTTAGACGGTTCGGTTGATGCAAAGGAAAATTGGGGGAATTAAGAGACATATGTATACATGGTGAATGGATGAAATTTTAATTTTCCCCTTCCATAATCGAAAAGGATGTAAGTGAGGGCATCCGCATTGGAATTTGAAGTAGAATTGAATTTGGACTCGAGCATGGGCATCAACTTTTGACTTCTTGAAGGAATTTGTATCAAGAGGTCTTGTCCCATGGTTTCATATCTCTTTTTTCGTAGTTGACTCCTACTTTTTTTTTGTCATTTCAACACTTGTTTCATGCTTAATGCTCTCATCTTTTCTCCAAGCCCATGAAGGCTTGCCATCCAACGGGTGGACCTAGCAAAATCTGCGGTTTTATTCAACCAACACATGTCCAGACTGCTGGCACAATCAACAGCGACTCAACAATTGATCGATGTAATTGGATAAGAAGGCATTTAAAATTTCTACATGCACGATGGCTAACGAACAAGTAGGTCCTTCGTGTTTTATTTTCTATCTTGCATGTTCGTATGATGTCATGCTTCAAAATAATGACACATTTTCGTCAGAGGATGAATGGGCACATAGCTCTAGGGAGTTCTTCAGATAAACTTGGAAACTATTCATTGGGAATATAGGAAGAAGAGTCGAGCTCTAAGTAAGTTCTTGGTGGACTTGGGTTTTGAGATTTTGATGCTTTCAACAAGGTCTTGTTAGCAAAACAATAGTCACGTATTCCGACTCAATATATTCCCTATTATCCCAAGTCTATAAAGGAAGGTACTTTAGGGATTACTTATTTAGGGAGATGGAGACACTATTAGGATCTAATACCATCATGGGACCTTTTATTTAGGAGATATCTCCCACTACAAGTTATGAGGTGGCAAGTGGAGGATGGGAATGAGATTACAAATTTTATTAACAAATTATTTTTAGTATCTCCTCTATCAAAGCTTGAAAATTTCTTTCAATCACAATAGTTTAGAATTCATACATTCTCTTCCTATCCCTAAAAGGTCCTAGAATGGTTATCTTTCATTTTACAAAGAATGATGTGTATTAGATAAAAATAGAGTATCATGTGATATAAGATATTTCTCTGACTACGTCTCGAAAACACATAGATCAAGTGATTGATACTCCTCTTTGGAAGCAATCTTGGAACCTTCAAATACCATCTACAAACTAGTAACGACTATTTAGCTATGAAATAATTGAAGTATTACTGAGAAATAATTGAAAAATATAGGATTTCTGGAAAAAGGGTTAGCATAGGAAAGTAATGACAAAAAATAAGTCATTTAGATTTTTCAATGAAACCATACGATTCAAAAAAAATTCGTTGGCAATTGAATCATTTGGCGTCAAATGAATCATTTGATGCCAAACGACTCGTGAAAATATAACAAGCTACCCTACTTCTTCTATAATTCTATCATGAATTCTCATTTCTTTTGATGTCTAAAATTAATATGCTATCACTTCCGTATCATTTTTGGATATTAAAAGGAGTTCATTCAAACTTGAAATGATTAGTGAAAATATAGCAAACAACCTTGATTTTAATATTTATTGCACTCCTTTGATGCCTAAAATAGATATTCTATCACTTTATTGTCACTGGATATCAAAAGGAGTTTATTCAAACTTCAAATGACTTAGTAGTGAAGATATAATAAACAACTCAAGTTCTTCTTACTCTTTTGTTTTCGTAGAAAGATAGACGCTAAAGACGTCCTAATTCGTATTACTAATTAATTGTTCACGATGAATTCCAATTACATTAAAGAAAGCCAGTGGCTAAACCCTGTATAAAAAACATCGATCAAGTGGGTTCCAAAATGAAGGTCGTGGCTTTATTAGGTAAGTAATATGCCACGCAGTTGCATTCTCTATGTATATGATCGATTGGTACTTCCTAGTTCAGGGCCAAGAGGCGGTTGATCTCGGGTTAGGAGCCCATGTGTCTATGTGCAACCTCATTCTTCTTCTTTATAATAGTCTGATAGCAGTAGTATAGTCAAGGACCATCTGTGCATATTCTGCTCTCTTCGCATCCTGAAAAGTTGCAGCTGCTCTCCTTTGTCAATTTCCTGCAGGTTCTCTCTTGGTTCATCCGGAGTTTTTCGTGTAGTGTCAAGTGTTTGATCCAATTTTGGCACCTTCCATTGCCACAACTCTTTCCATTCGCCTCCTCGCACGTCTTCAAGCTCATCTGCCACCAATTTGTCAGATGATTTGAGCCTGAACCTTCCATCTGGCTCCTGTCCCCAAGTGATTTTGTCGCCACCATGTCCCTGTTTCGGTGTATTTGTACCTGCAATAAGGGGTGAAATATATGTTTGGGTGTATCTTTACGACTGTACCTGCAACACTAATTCTTCTATAATTCTATACTGAATTATTCGTCCTTCAATGCTAAAATCGATATTCCATCACTTCCGTATCCTTGGATGCCAAAAGGAGTTCATTCAAACTTGGCCAGAACAGGGCCTCTTAGCATTGGGCTTTCCATGTTTCGCCAAACAAAACGAGGAAGAAATTTCAAGCCCATATTTAAATTACCAACAAATTGGATTGAGGTATCAAAAGATGCTTCTATCTTAACCGACCATTACATAGAACTACTTTACAGTAAACATCGACTGAAATTTTGTCTAATTCAAAGAGAATAACACAGAGAAGGTCTTTAACTTAATATATTACACATTACTGTCAAGATTGACACAAAGGGTTCTGTTAGAAACTGAGATTAGTTCTAATCATGGAAATTTTCATAGGCCAGATTACTGTAAGATGTGGCGGAGTCATCAGTCCTCTGGCTGGAACAACGTATAGGTTGAGCTTGCTTCAGTCTTCGTAACCTGCACAAGAATGTGTCAACAATTATCAGGATATGGGAACTCAAAACATTTTAATAACGTAGCAAGAGGAGTATACCAATACTTCGTAACGTTCACCGACGATTTCTGTGGATATATATATTTAACTACAGAGGTAAAAGTTCTGAATCCTGCTTGAGATAGAATCAAGATCTATTGAATAAACAGAGAACAGGAACCAGGGATACTGACCTCAGGGTTTCTGGATATTCCAGGAGGAAGAACAGGAACCAGTGATGTCCAAAGTAGAGGGTCTTCCAAAGGGTCAACGCCACCATTGTAGTTGTTTACAAGCTGACCAGACAGGAATGAAGTTAACGGGTACATGTTCCCGTGGAGAGACAATGCTGCTGGACTCATTCCTAGTCCAGCTCCAGCTCTACTATCGCTGCTACTATTACCATGACTCATAGTCGACTTGTCATCAACAGCAGCTTTGCCATAATCCATCTTGTTAATCATCGTCTTATTTTCATTCACGTCATTATTTTCCGTCCTTTGGGATGCTTTGTCTTGCAAGTTTTTGTAAGCAGCAGACTGTGAGAGAATGCTCAAGGCCGAAACTTTACGTTTCTTTGGTTCAGAAGAAACCCCTAGCTGGGGCATCTGGAATGGTTCAGTAGGCTGTACTGCCCACTCCAAGGTTCTGAGTTCTCGGGCAACATCGTCTGAAGAGCTATGCATGGGGTCCTCAGATGATCTGGAGATGGAGTCTACTTGACGTATTCTACTGGGAGCCCACCATTTGATGTAAGATGTTAGATCAATCTTTCTATCCATGCAAAAACTGCCAATATACTCATTTTCAGGATCATCACCTGCATCATAAGATTAGATACCACCATTAACATTTTAGGACCGCAATCACTTTTAAGGATTAAAAAAACAATGAAGTATGCTTGCAGTTCAATCTGAAATGTAACGTGACAGGAAGTAGAAAACAGAAACGAACTGAAATGATTCTCCAAGTTCTTAGAGATTTAACGATACCATAGTTCACATTACTGAAGTGCCCAGGTCCAGCCATACGTCCAATTGACAAGTCCCACCGATTACTTCATGATGCCCACACATATGTTAAAGGAGACGAAACAGAGTAAGGAAAAATAACACAGATAATAAGTCTGTAAGTGTTTGAATGGAGCTGTCCATGCACTCTTTTAAACAAAATACTGAAAAGTACTACTCAATAACCCTAGTTATGGCATTCACTAGCAAATGATTTTTTTTTTTTGTGTGTGAATATGCACATAATTAAGCTAGTGATATCGGCAAACATAGTAACATACAAAATGAAGAAATAAGAAGAAAATACCTGGAAAGCCCACGGTACTTAGAGATACCTCTTGAAAACCCACTACTCTTTCTGCAGCAAACATTTTGTCACAAATAAGCACCGTGGAAGCAAAACAGGAAGAGCTTTTGAAGGTAGAATATACCTCCGAAGAGAGGCCAGGTATTCCTCGCGGGAGACATTCTGCATTTCTTCAAGATCTCTAGTATAATCTGAAACCTGCATTGTGGAAAAAAGACAAAAAGGAAATGGGGGAGGCAACAGATGGGAAAAAGATCAATAAACATATTGAAATGATTCAGTTGCAAAGATGAGACTACTAATAAAAGTTTCAACTTCAGAAACTTTCTCACGGGAAAATTAATGAGTGTGCCAGGCCCCCAATATTTCAAGGCAGCAAGGTCATATGCTCTAGCTGCAGCCTCCTCGTCATCATATGCCCCTGCAAGTAAATCAATAAAACCTCCAGTATCTTCTACAATGGCAGAAGTGAATTCCAAGAAAAATAACACAAGTTTACTCACCCAAGTAAACTGGCCTCATCGAGTCACAAGTGCAGTTCCATGCACAAAAAGAAGATCTAATCAGTTTCATTATTTTAGCTGCATGTATGTAGACAAATATGAACACACCAGTAGAACAACATGTGCAAGACTATGAAACTCGAACCTTGCTTTCCCTTCTTATTCTGGTTCTGGTTCCATGTACTTTTATCCCAAAGGTGAGCTTCATAGCGACCTGTCCATCTATGCCTGATATTTAAATTGAACAAGACGAAACTTTAAGGTATTACACCAGAACTTGAAACAGCTAAAAGTTGAGATCAATGGCATCACTACCGCCTCACTCAGCACAATCCACCATATAACCCTTGAAGCTACGGCAATGTCAAATGTAACATCTGTCTAGATGTCATGAGTTCACCACTGATAGTTAGAATAGACTAAACCTTGCATTTTCTACCTCGGTTCTCATATCTCAACAGTATCTCTATAACTAGTTAACTAGAGGATAAGCCCCATTTCACTTGACAGTTTCGATTATTGCATTATCTATTGCCTCTGCGGCATTTCATCAAACACGTAACACGCATACAAAATCAGCAAGTAACTTCCAATCAAAACCTACCATTTAAATCCAGCGCTGACAAGCAAGCTACAGAGATGGACTTTATAAGTTCCCACACAAAGCATACCTAGTAACCCCGCGGTAAATGGAGCTGCGTTTCCCAGCAGTACAAGGAGGCATCTTGCTAATTCGTTCTTTCGCAGTACATCCCCTGTCCTTCTTCGCTTTCTTCAACCCTCTGTACAGCAACATCTGATCGTTAGTAACCACGGCCGCCGCCTCCGAACTCTCTCCTCCGCCACTGCTGCTCCCAGCTCCTCCTACCTCCGGCTTCATCCCCGGGTCCGACGAAGATGAATCCATGATCCACAAAATCCTTCACTACTGTTCCCACCAAAACAAATCAGTCTCCCAACTTAGTCCATCCAAAAAATCCGAAACTCAAGAAATGAAAAGTCCGATCACCTTCTCCCTCTTCCTCTCACCTAGTCAATAAGAGACGAGTGCCGGCGGCGAGCCGTTGAGCATGCGCTGGTTACCGAAGTCGGAAAGAAGTTTCGGAAGATCCGAGCTATCGGAATTGCGAACCGGCAGGCCGAGCGAGGATGATAAAGAAGAGACTGTGAGTGAGAAGTGAGCTCCCCTTTGTGAAATCGGGTGATCGGAAATGAAAGATGCAGAGAGGGAGAGTGAGCATGGGGGTATTTTGAATTTCCGCCATCAACTGATTTCTCTTTTTCACCAGCTGCCTGCCTGTGACGTGGCGGTCGACTTCAACGGCCACTTGGTTTTGCTCGGTTTTTTACCGGCCAAATACGCGAAACGCCTACAAAGATACGACAAATTTTGCGGAAACGTGACTAATTTATAGGCTAAATTATAAATTTGGTTGTTTAATTTTATCAATTTTTTTCCTGTTTAGAACTTAAAAAATCTTGGGTAACTCATTTTAAACCTCATTTCATTGTTGATCACCGATCACTCATTTTAGTTCAATTCGTCTTAAATGACAGTATATTAATTGAAAACTACGTTATTTGTAAGCTAAATTTGAGAAGAAGGATTGGAGTTGCTCTAAGATGAGTATGAAGTTTCGCCTGCCGCCGACGAGAAGGCTGGAGGAGGCCCAGGAAGGCTGAGAAGAATCAAAACTATAAAATTCATCATCCCCAAGTTCTTTATCCCTACCGCAACAGTGGAATGAGTAGTATTGATTCAGTAATGTACTAGTGTTTTGTTGCTTTGGTATGTATTATGTAATTATTCTGTATAGTGGGTATTGCTTTGACTTGTAGTGGTTACATAATAGTTATTTTTCAAGTATTGATTTATATTGCATGCATTGTTTTTTATTAGTAGTAGGGTTTTACTTTTATTGTTGCTTCAAACTGAATGTACAACTTAATACATTTATAACGAGAAAGCAAAAATGTAGGAAGTATGGATCGAACATGAGAACTTCATATCTTCAAATTGGTTGGTAAATGCATAATACATGCAAAAATGACTCTTCAAATTGGATCATCAGCATAATACATCATTGTTTTTTATTAGTAGTAGGGTTTTATTTTTATTGCTGCTTCAAACTGAATGTGCAACTTAATACATTTATAACGAGAAAGCAAAAATGCACTAAGTGTGGATCGAACATGGGAACTTCATATCCACATATGGGAACTTCATATCTTCAAATTGATTGGTAAATGCAACATAATACATGCAAAAATGACTCTTCAAATTGGATCATCAACATAATACATTCATAACTACGGGGAAAAAATGCGGTGAGCGTGGATCGAACACGCGACCTTCAGATCTTCAGTCTGACGCTCTCCCAACTGAGCTATCCCCGCCAATGAGTTTAATTAGTTTCTGAATATAAGATAATGTTTGTGTAAATACAAAAATGCCTCTCCCAACGAAATCTGTAAATAAAAGTAAACATGCGGTGAGCGTAGATCAAGCACTCAACCTTCATATCTTCAATCTGACGCTCTCTCAACTGAGCTATCCCCGCTAATATGATTAAATGTTTTGCACATATAAGATATTGATTGTGTAAATAAAAAAATGCTTGTACAAATAAAATTTGTACATGAATGAAAAAATATAGTGAATGTGGATCGTCGATCAAACTTGCTATCTTCAATATGATGCTCTTTCATCTAAACTATCCTCGCCAATGTGTTTTTGATTGTTGATGTTGTTAATCAGTCAGGCTCGTTTAGACTAACTAATATTTACATATAAAAAATAAAGGAAAAAAATGGGTGGCCCCATAATGGGCGATTCATTGTGAGAATTTTTGGAGGGAAAATCGATAAAAAATGGAAACAATGAAGTATGAACAACCTCCATGCGAATTGGAACAATTTTAATACAAGAAAATTTGAAAAATCAATGGCAACACTCTTAAAGTGACTACGACAGCTACTAGCTAATGTCGCATTGCGAACAAGCAAATGCTCCAGCAGTAAAAGAGTGTATGATCCATCATCTGCAAGGCTATAACAAGGTAGGATACTTGGCGTCGAGGAAATCTCTGATCGTTCGAGCAGCTTTCTGGACACCCATTAGCTCAGCTAACTTCTCTGCATGAAGAATAGCCAGCTCTGCTAAGCTTTTACAACTGTCCATGATTGACCCTCCAATATGATTTCCACCTCTTTCCCTTTTGTTTTCCCCACTTCTAGCATGGAGTAGACCTCCTTTCACTTGGGTGTTGTGAAACCCTAACTCTACCATGTAGATTTATTTTATGTGTATTGGATGATTGTCATTGGGTATTGTTCTATTCAATGATTGATGCATTATTTATCATAATTGTGCATGCTTGTGCTTAGCAACCTAGGGGTTGTGCATGTTTTGTGCTTAGCATCCTTAGGATTGTGCATAATTGTGCTTAGCACCCTTAGGTTTGTGCTTGTTGGTGCTAGCAATCTAATTAGCCACCTTAGCCTAGCTTAGAGAGGAAAATCCCCCTTCCAAGAGAGACTCAATCGAGTTGGTTTTCCTTCCGCTTTCTAAGCCACCTAACTAGGTTAAGTTAAGGCAACACTCAATGTTGACTTGAGTAAATCGGCTAATTGTGATCAAACCGTCCGACTTTTGAGTTGAGTGAGGGAGTAAGTCGATCACCGATTGTCTAAACCGAGAGGGTCGAGTGACACGGCCTTTCATGATTACCTCGGTTTAGCAATTAAGATGGATGACGACTAATGGAGAGTGACCAAATGTGAACGGTTTCAGTAAACTAAAGTAGTGCAAATGAATTTAAATATTTTGAGTGACCAAACCGAGAGGGTCCGTTAAGTGATGACGTGGCAGACAGAAGCGTCTAATCAACCCTATTTAACCCAAAAATAATGTGATCCAACCCGCCACGTCAGTGAGATCCGCCAAGTCATCTAAATTCTAAACCAACTCAACCCTCTAACCAGACCCGACCCTTAAACTAAACTACCCACACAAATCAAATCACTAATTTCTAAAATAGTCTTGCACCTTCCCCCTCGATTGGGCGATGCCTTCCTTCATCCATCCCGACTTTCTTCCTCTTCCCCTCTGTTCGAGATTTCACCGGCGACGGAGGGATGGAGGACCTAGCTTGACGATGAGATCGTGATGCTCGATAAGCTTGACGAAGACGATCTGGAGCTGCTGAGAGAGGAGATTGCAGCAGGTGAAGAAAATGGCTGAGAAGCGCATGCGTTGGATCTCTTCAGGCCACGACGAGTACACCGAGATCCACGCAGAGAAGGATTTCTTCTCTGTCGTCAAAGCCAGAGACTGCATTGTTTGTAGAGGTGGCAATTTCAATCCAATCCACCAATCCAATCTATCAATCCATTAAAAATATCCACCTAATCCAATCCATTTTATCCAAATCCAATTGGATTGGTGGATTCATGGATTGGATCCATGGATCATTGGCAAATTACGGTTTAGTACCTATAATTTTTATTTTTTACATTTTGGATTCATGGATAATCCACCAATCCATGAATCCACCAATCCATTAGATCCAATCCATTTGATCCATGAATCTACCAATCCAATCCACCAATCCACCAATCCAATCCATTTGCCACCTCTAATTGTTTGTCATTTTTATCGCGAGAATTGGCCTTGCGAGGTAAAACACCCTTGTTCAGATTTCGACAAGTCTGAGGGACGTCTAGGTGTTTGAATTGAGGGTTTTGTCGCCTGCTTGAGATTTATAAGAGAATTGAGTTAGCAGACAAATGAGAATTTCTCATAGATATGGCCTGTTAGAGCTCTGTTTTACATTTATTTTTTGCGAATCTCTTCCGAGAATTGAGTTAGCAGGAAAATGGCAATTGATCTCTGTTTCGAACCCAGTTCCGGAATCAGTCCCCGTATTTCCTTCTCCCACGATTTCTACCTCTCCAACTCGACCAACTGCAGGAGCAGCCTTACCGATCCGCCTCCCCGACACCAACATCGACTCCAATTTCTGTGTGAGGAAGAGCAGCTTCGACCACGACCCTTCATCTTCCGCCGACGAGCTCTTCTCTTACGGAAAATCCTCCCCGCCGCCATCAAGACCGCCGCCAGCCCCAAACCGCCTCTACCTCCGCCTCATCCTAAGCCGCGACCGAAGACTTCTCCGCCGCCAAAAAAGTGACGTCGTCGTGAACAATAATCATGAGCGGGAAGAGGACAAAGAGTCGTCGAAGCAGCAGGGCTCGTTGAAATCATTCTAGGGGTCGTTTGGATCTAGAAAAGTGGGCAGGGATTTGGTCCACATTTCGGCCCGTCCAGGAATTTAAACAATTTCCTTGTTTGGATATGTCTTAAAACAGCCGAGATTTGGGCCTCCAGAATTTTCAAATCCGGCCCGATCCGGAATTAGAAATATCTGCTATACCCCAAGTATTTCAAAATCCGGCCCTATTTGTTTTGTTTCTTCCCAGCGTGTCCCTGCTAATAATTCTTTATTCCAATTCTATCCTTTAACCACAATTTCGCAGACACCTCTCATTATTCCCATCATTCACGAACAACTCTCCCCCTAACCTACCGTCGAGGTAGAAGAAAGGAATTGTCGACGAATCTACGGCCAGCGGAGGATGCCCGACGGTTCTTGGCGGCGACGAAAGTGAGGGTGAGCACGCTTATTCTATAGGGACGCCTGCTGCGACAAGATTTCAGGTTCGTTTCCTTCTCCTCATTCTAGAATTTGGTTGCGATTTCTAAGGTTCCTATGGTGACTGATTGGGTTGTCTCGATTCGAGGGGTTAGGGGTTATGGTTCGTCCTTGATGATGATTAATTAGTGGGTATCGTTGTTCAAGATCTTGTTCTCTTTTTTTCCGTCGGATCCCTTCAAATTCACGAGCACCTTCAAATGCGTACTTTTTTAGTTAGAAAGGCCTTCCTTTCGAGCTCCTGTCATGGTAGTAAATGGTCTTGAGCAGGATAATCTATAGAAGTTCGAGATTAGTGGGTAACGTTGCCGCATATGGGTACTTCCTTTCGAGCTCAATGTGTTGATTGCTTATGTATTTATAGAAGTTCTTCAATCTGGTCTCCCTGAAATCCAAGTTTAACACACAGATTCGACCAGTAGAGTGGGAAAGCAAAATCTGAGCTTTGCTCGACGCTATCTGTGTTGTGTTGGTTAATGGTGAAAGTAAAAACCAGGAAAGAGTGGGTGGGTTATTAGAGATAAGTTGAGCTTTGATTTCTCTTGTGCCTTTCTCTTTTTGTCAGAAACAGTTTTGTTTTGTTTAGCATTGTGGATATATATTGTACACCATTTCCATCAATTCCAGGATCAGTAATACCCAATCAGATGTTCTTGGTTGATTCCCTAGTTTCTCACTTGCTTGCCAACCAAAACCTTCTGCAACTCTAACACTCTGTTTTTGATTCTCTAGTTTCTCTATGTTCTTGGTTGTTTTTTGGGTTTCAGTGACGAACTGCAACTGTTTGATGATGACAGGGAGCAAATGCCCTGCTGGACTATACATTCAAACAACCCATTCTCCAGAAGACTATGTCAATCCTCACAAAGCACCTGAGGCCACTGCACTCGGAGAAGAACAATGGGGTTTTCGTAGTGGATTTGGAGGGGAAACCAGTGGCGCATTACAACGATCCTCAAACGCAGTTGCTCCTGCAGCGGCGTTTGTAATGATAGGATCAAGTCTTATGCAGGATTATGTGTGTTCTTGTTAATTGCCCTTCAAAACGTGGATAATAAAAGAACACCCATTTTGTGGCAGCTCATATAGTGAAGGGTATGAATGTAATTTTCACAATTGCTTTCAGAATTAAATTCCCTAACTATTAAATCCCCATTCATAAACAAACAACATATTTAACACAAAACCTGGGTTTAAAATACTAGGTATTTTAATTGAGTGATTGTGGGCCAAATCTCTACTTAACTAAATTCTTAATCCAAACGATCCCCTAGCGGATTGCTCCGCCGAATTTTTGTGTGGGTAGTTTAGTTTAAGAGTCGGGTCGGTTCGCATTATTTTTGGGTTAAATAGGGCTGATTAGACGCTTCTGTCTGTCACGTCATCACTTAACTGACTTTGTTAACGGAGATGGACGACGACTAACGGAGAGTGACCAAAAGTGAACGGTTTCAGTAAACTGAAGTACCACAAATGAATTTAAATATTTCGAGTGACCAAACATGAACATTTTTTGTAATCTCAGTAGGGCTGTTAATGAACCAAGCCGCTCATGAATGATTCGGCGTCCGACTCGAGAAAAACTCGTTCGAGACTCGATTCGTCTTAATCGAGTCGGCTCGCGAACAAGCTCGTTAACTAAACGAGCCGAACTTGAGCCATACCATGTTCAACTCGAGAGCTCGCGAACAAGCTCATTTAACAGTTTGGCATTAGAAAGGACTGGAATTCATGGGTTTTATGTATTGAAATTGAGATAAATATTGTGTTTTATTTTGCTAGACTTTGATGTAGGTTTGAATGTAATTTTGCGCTTAGTTCTAGCTCAATCTTGAACTATAATGAACATTTATGTGTTGAACTCGATTTTGGGCTCGTTAATCTTATTTGGCGAGCCGAACTCGAGTCAAGCTCGAGCTTTCATTTTCGTAAACGAGTTGAGCTCGATATTGCATATTAAAGCTCGTGACGAACTCGAGCCGAACTTGAGCCTAGAAATATATTAACAAGAAGAGGCCGAGCTATAACAAAGTTCAGCTCGGCTCATTAACAACCCTTAACAACCCTAAATCTCAGTGACCAACAATGCAATTAACCCAATTTTTCTTCCCCTCTACACAATTCGCAGGAATTCAAAAGAGTGGGCCTGAGCAATATTTGTTATTTCGGTAGCCCAATTCTATTTTCTCAAAATCACCTTCACATGCCTCAGTGATTCATTTCTCTCGGCCCAGTTGGTGAATACGTAGAGAGTGAATTACAAGGGATTAACGGAGGGCGAAAGAACATCACTACTTATCGGTCTTCTTCATTTTCATTCTCTTTCATTTTCAGTCTATCTTATTCAGAACCCTAAAAAGCCTAACCCAATTTCAGTCATACGGAGAGAATGAACGTGGGTTTCGAAAGTGATGATCATATCTTAGGGTATCCAAGGTTGCAACTTACGCGTTACAAGTGTGAGCTTCACGTTAACAAACGATACAAAAAGAACTCATATACAGGGTGACGCATAAACGACTTGGTACACATAAATATACCTTGAAGTTGTCAAATTGTCATTCTTTCCAAGTATAGGGAGCTCGATCAACAACTAAATAGTCGCCCCTAATATCTTTCGCCACTCGTATCTCCTCGTCCAGGTACACCGTCTCGAACCTATATACATATATTACATCCAACAGTTCAAAGATAGTATCAAATGTATTCTATAATTTCTAACTACTGGAGTTATTGAAACTAATTGCTTTGGAAAGAAAGCTTACCAACCCTGCCCGAATGGCGGCAATGGAATCTCCCAATTCTTCCCTCGCAACACCGCACTCGTAAATCTGAAAACCACACATCATCACTGACTCAAACTTGAAATTGTAGACTAATTTTGCATCTAATAATTAACGAAAGGATTTGTCACCTGAAATTGACCCTTTGAGTGGAAGCTATTTCGATGGTGGAGCGGACGAAGAAAACGCCGTCGGGCGGGAAAGTAATGACATTATTGAGGCTCCCTTTCTCCACATCGATCACCTGCAGAACATCCCCTGCTTTGGTCCCCAACAGCGGGGCCTTCTCGATGATGAACAGCTGCTCTTTCTCCGTCGTCCACAGCAGCCGCCACGCAGCCGAAAGGGAATCCCCCGTCGTGACGGTATCCCTCCCTAACTCCGCTATGCAATTGATGGCCTCGACGATGGAATTGAGCTTAGCGGGGTCGCGCTGGGTCTTCAAACCTCGGTCTTGGTCGGAGATGAGCCCGAGGAGGTGCTGCTTGGCCGCCCATCGTGATTGCGCAGCGGTAGAGGAGGAGGAGCCGATTCTAGGGATTGCTGATGCTGCCGGTAGGGCGGATCTGGGTTTGGTTGATTTGTTGGGGTTTTGAAATTGGAGCGGAGTTCGGAGATATTGAGCAGACGTGGTCGTCACGGGGTGATGGTGAGGAGGAGCAACGCCGCAGAGCTGGCGGAGCGGCATCGTCTTCTGTGATGTATGTTTATGTTCACAGAAACATCATCCGGATTTCTTCAAAAATCAAACACACCGCCGGAATATATATTTTTTCGTTGAACTAAATATTTTTTCTTACAAAAAGCTGTAGATTACATAATTAAGGAAAAAATCCCAGAATGCCGTAATTATTTAAAAAAAATTCTCAAAATACAGTACTTATAAAAATATTTCCCAAAATACAGCAGTTTGATCATCACCACTGTCGACAAAGACAGTGAACATCATCACCGCTATAAAGAAAAATGGTGAATGTATCACCGTTTTGGACAAAAGCGCGGAAACAATCACCGCATTTCTCGTAAATGGTGAAACCTTCACCGCTTCTGTTATACAACCCTGGTAGGTTGGAAGTTAGGTAACAACGATCTAACTTTCACTGTCTTGGTCGAAAGCGGTGATGAGTTCACCGCTATTGTCCAGTGCGGTGATTAGGCCCCACATTTTCCTATAAAAACCCATCCCTCAGGTATCTCCAGTTGCCTTACAACAATTCAGTACGAAATTAGTGCATTTTTGGTCCTTTTCTCAGTTGACTTACAGCAACAAGAAACTCACCGGGATTCGGTATGTTATAATTATGTATTGTTTACATGTTGATGTATTAGTAATTATATGTCTGTATTTAGTGAATTTCGGTTATTGGCAAATCTGTTATTTTATTAGATGAATTATGGTATGATTGATGTTAGTTAGTTATGAATTTAGATGAATTTGTTTAGTTTTCTCATGATAGATCAGTTAGTTGCGGTTGTTAATGGGTTTGGATGATATTATTTGTGTATCCCTAATGTACTAACTTATTCGAGGTAAGCTAATAGTTACTTATTGTAATTTGCAGACATGGGTAAATTTAAGAAGTTTCAGCTTATTATTCGGTTGAATGGTCGGGTGACAAACTCGGACTTTGGGATCGACTATGAAAATGGCGAATCCACTATGCTAAAAATTAAGTCGAGATTCACGTGTCAAGAACTACGTGACATTTGTGCAGAAATGACTTGTATGGACGGGCAAAGGAGAGTTGGTCAAATTACTTACCGGTATCCAAACATGAGTGCTGGCGGAGTTATGTACGAAGAAGTTGTCATAAATGATGATGACGCGGTGAACATGATGATACAGTTCATATCTGACAACGAGATGCGGCTTGCGGAAGTGTATGTCGAGATCGAGCCGGTCGGTGAAACTCATTCTCACCAGTATTCTTGTGATGATGGTTTTGTAGGAGGGTACGGCTGGGTGGTAGTTCAAGCAACTACAGAGGAGGTAGTTCTGCAGGAGGCTACGGCTGGGGTGGAGGTGCAAGCAACTACGGAGGAGGTAGTTATGTAGGAGATGTTGGGTGGGAAGAATACCTGCAAAATGCTGAGACTGTCCCATTCGTTGAGCCCGTCAGTGATCAATGGCCTGATTGGGGGCCAGAGTGGGCTGACATTGTGAACCACCTTTGAACTGGGCGTACTTCGCATGACCGAGAAGACGATGTTGGTTATGCTGGTAACGATGATCCTCTTGAGCCGAGCTATCCATTCGCCTCCAGCGACGAGGAAAGTGAGGAAGATTTGAGATCAGTCAGTGAGGAAGAAGATACAAATGATATTGAGGATAGCGAGGTGGCGTTCCGTGAGGCACCAACGCCTTACTACACAGAGGTTCCGTCTTAATTTTTATATAGTCAGAACGATCCCCCTGACTTTCGCCCTATGCCTGTGTATAATCCAACTGCTAGTTTGGAGGTGAGTATGGCATTCACTTCGAAAGTCTATGTTCAAGATGCTTTTATCGAAGAAGCCATGCGGCGCAATTTCGAATGGAAGGTAAAATATTCAACCACCAAACAACTACATGTCATTTGCAAAAATGCTGAAGAGGGTTGTTTGTGGCAACTGTGGGCTGCAAATATGAAGAGAAAGGGCTCTTGGGTCATTCGGACGGCAGAGAACAACCACAGCTGCTCCTCGAACATATTGTCCCAGGATCACCAGCAACTGAAAGCAAAGAAAGTGGCAAGAACCATTAAGACTTGATCGAGGCACAACCAGATATTAAAATCAAAGCTATCATGGCCGAGGTGAAGGATCGACACTCCTACACGATCAAGTATAAGAAGGCGTGGCATGGGAAGCAGAAGGCCATGGCTGAGGTCTATGGTGATAGGGACGACTCGTATACTTTACTCCCTAGATTAATGGCCTCAATGGAGGAGTCCAACCCTGGGACTGTTTTCGTGCCCTGTTACAACAATGTATACACTGAGGATCAAGTTCGAGTACAGAATGAATTGATGTTTCATCGTCTGTTCTGGACCTTCAAGCCATCCATTGATGGTTTTGCTTTCTGCATGCCAGTTATCTAGGTATATTACGGTCTAAACACTGTTGTTGTATTTCTTTTTTTTACCAAGTAATATTTATACTAACTATAATTCTTTTTAACAGGTTGATGGAACTTTTCTTATTGCGAAGTATAAAGGAACTCTTCTCATTTCCACTGGCGTTGATGGAAATTTAAGTATTTTCCCCCTGGTGTTTGCATTAGATGAAGGGGAGAACAACTTAAGTTTCTTTGACCAGCTACATGACTCGACTCTACTGTCACCCTAGGAATTGGCCAAGTGCAACCACTCCCTAAAGCATAGTATAGCGGGTTTAGGTTTATATGTCAACCCGGGTCCTAGATCTGATGACTACTCAGTGAATTCTTGTTATCTAGCAATGAAACTGGAGTGCAAGTCTAAACTACCAAACAAACAAAGCAAGTAAACTAGTTGTATTCAGGTTAAAGAGGTCACCCGGATATGGTTCCCCCTAGACTGCAGTTAAGCCGGATTGTAATTACCAAGTTCAGTTTCTATGACAGTTATACTGCGGAAGGTTCTTAAACAGCCTGAAGTCTCGACTAAAGGTCTTCAGACCCTCTCAATCTGACTCTCTAGCGGGCGACTAACCTCCACCGGAGTCGACAGATTGAGGCCCTAAGAACAAAACCTCCACTACCGGAGTAAATCCGGTACAGAATAGTGAGTTGGCTCCTCGACTAAAGTCACCAACTCCCTACCTTCAATCAAGGATACTCTATTAACCTAGGCAGATATTCTCATTCTAGGTCAAAGCAGAAACAACAGGAATTTGATCAGGATTCAAGTCATTCAATCATTAAAACCTCAATCGAATATAATCAATCATAGAATCAGTACTTGGGTTCATACAATCAAAGCCTAACATACAAATCTAGGGTTCTCCATACCCAGATGAATGGGAGAACTACTCCATGGAGAAGAAAGCAAAAGCAGAATCAGACACGGAATTCATACTGCGAAGGATGGATTCCTGCTTCTGGACGTTGATTGGCACTTCTCCAAGCTCAAGCTTGCCTCCAATGGTGTTGAAGATCAATCTAGGGCACTTGGGAACTCTTGCTCGTCACTTTCTCTCTCTAGGAACTGATCTCTCTCTCAAAAACTCGAATCCCCCTGAATTGTGGCTGAAACTCTGCTTAAAAGCATCAGTGGCCAAAGCACGGTCGAGGGCACGGCCGTGCTTTGCCTGACTCCGCACGTGCCTCGGCCAGGGCTTAATTACACGGCCAGCAAGTGGGTTAAACACGGCCGTGCTTCGCAATGTACACGGCCGTGGTTTGACTGAACACGGCCGTGCTTCGGTGCCCGTGTTTGCAGCTGAATTGGCCAAACTGAATTTGCTCTCGGCATAAAAAGCACGGCCAGCAGTACACGGCCGTGTAATTCCTTGGGTCTGCCCGTGTTTTGGCTCCAGCTCACCGAAATGACTTCCGAATGCCCCGAAACTCGCGCTTAGCCTTCCCTTTGACACCTGGGACCTGAAACATGACAAAATAGCACAACCCGGCGTAAAATAGGCCAAAACACACGACTATACTCCTCAAACGGATAAGAACTAGGGGCGCAAACATGTGCATTTACATCGTTATCAAACTCCCCCACACTTAACCGTTTGCTTGTCCCCAAGCAAACCTAACTCAAACCCATGCAACTCTCCAGACCTCTATAGCAACAAACAACCCAGATCTTAGGTAGAGGACTTCCTAGGTCATTTAGCAGCTTACGAGGTCAACCGACGCACAAGTCATCTCATAGCTTCCTCGGCGAGTCGGCATCATGGCAAACAGTGAACAGAGGACAAATGAATCGTGGATGAAGAGATTCTCAAAAACAAAAGATCATGGACTCACATTTTTCAAGGTGCTCTATTTTCTGCTTAAAGATGGTTGGAACCCCTTTTTTTTCTGTTTTGCTTGTTTTCTGTTGTTTTTCTTTTCTTTTCTTTTCAAGGGTCCCAACCTGCTCTTACCGGCCATGCCAGGAGCGGATGTCTCGAGCCTCGTGCGGGGGAAAGACATGTAAGGAGGCTGGAGGTAGTAGGTGAAAATTGGGAACGAATTCCCGTCTCCCCTTACACACTTTCGCCCTATTCGCACGGGAGACGTTATTTTGAAGCACATTTTCGAGCACCTGTTATTTTCAAAACATGATACAAGAGTCCATGACAGGCAGAGAATCCAAAACACCACACAATTCAAGGGTCCTAAGATCACTAATTCACTCAATCAACCAACTCAATATGAAGAAGAAACGAGACTTCTTAAATGCATCAACATCCTCCATAGTGCTACACTACCTCCCTAGGTTGCATATTACTATAAAGACTGTCAATTCAAAGCATACTGAGCAGGCAATTGCAAGGAAACACGTACTTGGAGCCCTCAAATTTAAAAATTTGGACAGTGGACTAGGCTCCAAGCACACAAACAGATCTAATGCAGTCAAAAGTTAAACACCCCCCATACTTAAGATTGACATTGCCCTCAATGGAGAAGAGGGAAGGATAAGGGAACGATGTTACCGGTATGCACGGACTGCAGGAGACTGGAAACGGGCCAGTCGGGGCAAGCACAGCCGAAGGGAAACAGAAGAGCTCAGACACAATATGTTAGGTTCAATGGTCAGCCCAATAAAATATCATCCAAACCAA